TTGATCGGCGTGAATGGCGCGATCTGATCACGAAAGCAGCTGCCGAGGTGCAGGAGAAAGCCCTCATACATGTGGAGAAGCGGCAATTGCAGAAGCGGCAAGCACCAATGGGTTGTACTCCATCGACATCGAACGCATGGTGCTGTAGCACATGCGATCGCGAGTGCCTGAGTCAGGCAGGCCTAGTGAGCAATGAGCGAGGCCACTCGGGGCCAGCACCGAAATGACGACGTGTCCTGCTGAGAACGTAAGCAGAACCGGTGCAGCGTTTGTAGCTACGCTGCATTCGATTTACTAACCGCGCGCTTGCATGCTGAGTCTCTTTATTTTAGGTGGTAGGTTTGCCATATTTTCCTAATGCTTTTTATCCCATATCAGTGTCTACCTGAATTATTAGCTATTAACTTGCACACGTCGCTTTATCTAATTGTACTAAACTTCGATAAGATCTTCGCGTTTGTGGCATTTTCTTAAAATGTATTTTCCGACGTCTTGAACCTATCGCGGATATTTTGGCAACCAATCTATTTCATATGCACATTTGGTGAAGAGTTATGTCAGCATCTGTATGCATTAATCGATTTATGCTATTTGATATCGTCGTCTCAAGTGATTGGCTGTTGCTTAATATCCCCGGTGTGGTTGCGCTTGATGTGTATGTTGACAAGGTGCCTCCCTGTCTATTACCCACTACCTCGTACATACTGACTCCAGGAGACAGTTGGTCGTTGCTGGAGGGGACGGGGTGCACGGTCCTTGTGGACACGCTAGGCTCGAAGAGTGGTTTCATGCAGTCAGTGTGGAGCGGACTATAGTCCAGCCACCGCATTGTGTGCGCTTGGTTCCCAAATACAGCGTGCTTGTGTTTGCCTGTGAAGGAGTGTGGGCCGACTCCGTTGATGAAACGGGGCTCCCACCCACATGCCTCCCGGGCTTATTCCTTCGGGTTTACACAGGATATGGGGTGTATGGATGGAACTGTGGGTTGTGCAGCGCAAGCCACCCATGGTCCCTCTGTAGGCGCAGGCATTCTGTGGCAGCCGCCGTGGAGGTCACAATCACAGGCAAATCCGAATACGGATATCGCTAATCCATATTTATTCAACATTTTACCAATAACATTACAATTGACTGAGCGCCACAACACATGAGGAAAAAATATATTGAAAGGGAAGAAAACTGTTAGGGTAGAAGCCTCACAGCAAGTGCGTTATTGCGTACGGTCCTTGGCCATATCCTCTAGCGTTTGCTGCGGCGCAAGCTACCCATGGTCGCTCTGTAGGAGCAGGTGTCTTGTGCCTGTGCCATAGAGGCCGCAGTGACAGGCAAATCCGGAAGTGGATGCCGCCAATCCACAGATGGATGAAGACTATATAGCAGAAAATGTTCGTTCAAGATACTAGGACCTTACATGCTCGTGCACGAGTTTTGGCACTTCCGGGACCGTTCTCAACTAGGCTCTCTCGTGGCCCCTGCATCCCCAGCCAAGGAGTCAAGAGTACTTTACTACAATTAACTCAGGGTTTTGCACTATACTCCCAGCCCAAGTCTTACTCTGCTCTCTAGTTTTCATATTCAGTTAACGTGGGCGCACAAAAGGACGGCAAGAAGTTTAAACACCAGACAAGCATACGAAGCGCGTGCGACCGAGGTCCTTGCGGTGAAACTCTGCAGCCCAGCGGGTGACAGGCTGCATCTCAATTGAAAATTCATCGAAGGACGCCTTTACTGCTAGTACGAATTCGCCATGGTACGTCAGCATTGCTCCTAAGGTAATGGTGATCTGACCAGGTTTGATGTGAACATCTTGTGTGCAAATCAGACCATCTTATCAAACATGGAGCAGGGCCACTCGTATCGGAGCACTAAAAATTCGGACTTCCAGGGAAAAGCTGGGATCAAATCATCACCAGAGATGACGGGGTATCGCAAAAGCAAAACGAGTCTACAAGATGCCCAGGCTGTAGATGTCAAGGTGGCTCCTAAGGAAAAGTTGCTGTTCCCTTCTACTGAGGATATGAAAAAATGCAAAGAAGCTTCACACTTTGATGAGGCCAAATATTAGTCCAAACTGGGAGCGTTCATCTCCGGCCTACCCAGTCAGCGTTGGGTGGCCATTGAGGAATAATCAATATACTTCAAGTTGCGAAATCGGACATACAAAGGCAGTTCAACGCTGCTGCACCCTCCAAAATGTGATGCTTAGAAGAATGGAGTAGGACAGGTGACGCTAGGTAACTGTTTCACGCCATTTGTGATACTGAAAGCGACAAAGGTTCGCCGTACACCCATACTAGGCCCGAGGTTTGAGGACACATGGTTTGAAGAGTGCCAGCATGATTCTCAGGCATTTTCCTACAACCAGAAAGCAGCACAGGCAGCTGAGTAAAACGCGGTTCGTATGTCTACAAAGACAACGGCTGTCGGTTCGATGGTGCTGAATCATCAGGCAGATAGTGCAGGCGCGATCACCGCCAGTCCGACGTGAGTGAAACCCAGCTTGCCTTTCGTGTATGTGCTGTTCGCGTACCCGTTTATACCACGTTAAAAGTACACCGGTGAGCATTTTGGATGTAAAGCAGACGAGGTTAATTCCTCAGTGGTTAGCGAAATTTGTATGGCTAGTCCTTTGAAAGACGGACACGGCATCCGGTAAGTCATAACTGGATAGGATTAAATCCGTGGTCCAAATTCCTGATGAGCCCAACTTTTGATGGAGGCGTGAGCAGGATGGAGTTCGCCTATAATGAGTTTTGCATCGATTGAGAGTGAAGGTCATTAACTTCAGCCTGACGATGTTGATGCTTCTAGAAGCCAAGGAGCACAGTGGATTCCTGGATTGGAACTCGGTGCTGCTGACACGTTCGACTGAGTAACCGAATTAAAATATGCACAGCTCATCCATCCGATCCAAACAGTGCTAACTTAGTGGTTTGCTAGGGATGTGGGTAAAAGCTTGTATATTAAGCGTTCGTAATCGAACGATGCACTTCCACCGAGCGCAGTTATAATCAGGCCTAATCGAAGTTCCGGAATGACTATGTTTTTCAATTCGTTGCATCGTTCTCCCAAATGTTTGCATCGGTCACGTTTGAAGCTGCATCGGGTGCGTCATGTGACACGTTGCACGTGTGTACTCGTATGAGCAATACTCATGGGGGCAAGGCGATCACGTGATCTCACGTCACGAACAGTCTATGAGTATGGCTCAAACGAGTGCACACGTGCAACGTGTCACATGACGCACGCAATGCAGCTTCAAGCGTGACCGATGCAAACATTTGGGGGAACGATGCAACGAATTGAGAAAAGGTGTAGTATGCTGTACTTAAATTAAAGTCCGTTAGGTTGTGAGATCTAGGTGGAGAAGTTCCTGAAAACCTTGAGCATATAACGTCTAAGGATGGATAAATGGCGATTTGTGGCTGTAGCAAGCTTCAAATTTTGAAGAATTCCAGGGACCTCAACCCCAGTGAGCTAAAGATGATCCGGTATTGATGGACCGCACGGACTATCGGACACATGCAAGTGGGGTCTTTAGGCGAGAACATCCATGGGATGCATGTGGCGGTCGTTTGCACTATCTTCTGAGACGCTAACATTTTCACTTGACTCCAGACCAAAGAGCACATATACGAATGAAGCTCGATGCTCTCCACATTACTAATCGTACGCAGTTTAGCAGTCCACATTTCCTTCCAAGAGGAATACTCATAACCCGAAGGTTGTGTCAGGAACAAATGACTTTGTAATGTACGTAAACAAAGTCATCAACTTTGAGTTGACTTTATTGATGGTGTGAAGTGAATGTAATAAACAACCGCAAAAATGAGCAGCAGAATGAACGACTCCATGTGATTCAAAATACCAAATCACAGCTTGTGTTAATCCCCTTTACCCTTCCCTAGCCATCGGCTTCTCATCCTATCCATTTAATTACCGTAAGTTGTCAAGATGATGAAAAACTGCTCATCTGTGATAATGGTATATGCCGCAGTTTAAAACACAGCTTTCTAAAAAGCGAAATTTCCTATTCGCTCAAAGCTTCAGTATACCAGCCGGACTGTTTTGCGCGCGTTTGCTCTTGGCTGACCCCTGGCTCTATGTGCTTTAACCGTCATTATTCGCAGTCTCATCACAGTCACACCATAGACGAGACGCACGAATTCAAATGATGTTTAGCACTATACATTTCAAATAGCCGTTAGCAAGAGCAAATAGAAGGCGGGAGTCGATTACGATGCACAGAACTGATCGAAATCAATCTTACGGTGCAAAATCACAAAAGTAAATCCAACCGGAGCATGTGCATAGGGTAGGTGGTTTGGAGAGAAGGGTCAATTGGATGTCATACGATTTGGCCTAAAGGCCCTCTCCCCAGAGACTGAGGTCGTCATCGACAGCACACTTCTGGATTCTTATTACGAGGTCTAGTTAACCGAAGTGGCCTGGTTGAGAAATAAAACCGGAAAGTCGGTGAGACAATTAGAACATTGCCGACCAACTCACACATATTGACCTACTATTATTAATGATTCGTTCCCTGACTGTTTATGTACCAGTTGAGCAACACTAGCTAATATTAGGAGCTCGGTTAAAATGAGTGTGATCTAACACTAGCGATCGGCAGGCCAATTCATAGCTCGAGGCTGAGGAATAAAAGTGATACACGCGGGGTGGCAGATGAAAGCTAACCAGTACAGAAGTTGAAAGGCAAATACCTATAAATTGTTACACAGGTAAACAACGCTGCAACCATCTAAAGTAGCTCCGGCAAAGTATCGTACCCAGTTACCGATACGCTTGACCTTTATTCTCTGTGCTATAATTGAGTGCTAGACAAACGGTCAACAAGCCCCCAGTCCGAAACTTGTAACCGAAGTTATCCTGTTTTGGTTACCACATATCCGCTTTAACCGATCAACAATAAAACATACGCACGCTAACCCACTCTACATACTAACCGAAACCTACGTACTTGACTCTAACACATTTTGCAGTTTGTTGCGTATTCCCTCAGCTACCCACACGCACACAATGACGAGAGAGCTTCGAGAACGACTGACCAAGATGCGCGGCGGCGGTGGAACTGGACTCAAAACGGCGATATCGTTCAACCTAGCAGGGGATAAAACTGCAAATCGCCTAACTAAATATGCTACGAAAGAACAAGTATCTGACTGGCTTGTTGCTCGGAAATTCCCTGGAGAGTAAGTAAAACGACATTTTCTTGCAATCGTTTGGAATGAGCGTGAGGAATTAGAAGGCAGCTTTAATCATGAAGCCATATAAAGCAATCTGGGGAGAGCCGCTTATTAGTCGGCCGATGACCACATGAGTAAGAAAAGCCTAAAATGACAGTTTCACGGCTACATTAAGATAGCTTCCATCATCGAACAAATGGCAAAACTGCGCAGTTTGTCGCAGAGTGGCTTGAAGCACAAAGGTAAAGAATCGCTATCACGGATGACAACATAGGACCATCAGAACAATTTTCGCTCTCACAATAATCCACACGACTCGGCCTTGTCGGTCATGCTAACCAGATTTCGTGGAAAAACGCAAACAACGATAAGTGCTAGCGCACTTAGACTGAATCTTTGTTAGGATGGGGGAATTAAGAAATGTGAAAATCAATGCAGTTTGGCTTTTCCTATTGCAACCAAGTACGGTCAGTTAGTGCCGCATAACAGCTCACCGATGCAGGATAGGCCAGAAATATCGTAGGTAAAACACCGGAAATCAGGCCGATAAACTCAATGTGTAACTTGGAAGTGGAAAAAGACGGAGGCTGAATATCACCTTGCCAGTTCGATGTCTCTATTCAACCAACGGGTGTGCTTTAATTTCGCTACACTAAGAATCGATTGTCGAGTGAACAGGACGGTAAACTCAGATCACCTATCAGCTGATTCATGAATAAAAGTCAAAGTAGAGCAGAATTGAGTGTCTGAAATAAGCCCATTATTTATAGACAGTAGTCTAAGAGAATAAACCCCGAGCAGTCAAAAGCATGGAATCTGGGAACCAGAAGTTAGTAAGATGTAAAACACTTGGAAAAGAGAACAGATAATGAGAAACAAAGAACAACAATATATTTTACCTTTCCCACATTCTGTACGTTTTTGCGTTTAAGAGTTAATGCTTTTGAAATCGGAAATGCACTCACACGCGTAGATTGCTTTCCCTCACACAAAGCGAGAAGCCTAGGTTCGTAATCCGAGTGATTCAGACCCACTATGTTATGACCACTCAGGTGATATGCACCCTGAAACAAGTGACCAACTATATGGTTAAAGTTACAGGAGAGGATAACGAAGTCCGAATTGACGGCTTTGCATGACAGCTGATGAATATGGCGATGGAAATCGACTTTGCTTGACTCAGCTAAAATCATTTGGCGTATAAACGGAGATCACAAACATGGCGTTCTTCAGCGTGATGCCTGCTAACTCTACATGAGCCTTCAAGCGAAACTGTGCACTGTCGGCTGTTAATCAGTAAACAATCCAGCAGTGCTACCTCGACTTTGACGCTTAATGCCATGACAACACCAGTCAATCCAGCTGCTTCTGCGTTATCAGACAAACACAGGTTGTATGTGGCTTTTTGGTTTATCGGAAATGGCAACGTGAGCATAATGTTTCAAAAAAGCAGCAGATATCAATAGTCAAACAATTCAGAGTACGTTCTATACCGGCCTGTAGACCAATATGCAGAAGTGCCCGAACTGCCAACAGAAACGGGGATCGTGGTCGAATTATATCTTTAGGTCAAACTTCCGGGGCAGTGGCGAAACCGGCATATGGATTAGACCAATGTTAACATGGATTAATATGAGAATGGTTGGTGTGTACTGGAGTTTGGTACGAGGCGACAGACTCAGGGACTAGGGAGTGCAGCTTAGTAGCAGTGTAGTACATGGTTTTTGCAGAGGGCGCGATACTACCCGGTTATCCAAGCTGAAGTAGGGATTCGACTTAGGAGACGCCACCCCGATACTTTGGCTCAAAAATCTACCCACAAGCTCTCGTAGAGCTAAGCCAAACGTGAGATAACAAATCGTACGATGCAGTCCTAAACAATAGGCACGACTCCATGGAGCGATATTTGGGAATATTGTATGTAAAGATCATGAGGGTAGCGTTCATGAAAGAGCCGCCGAACCTCCATATATTTACCAGACTACGGTGCGTTCCACCAAGTTAGTCGACGTTTACACTGGTACTTTAAACATATGCTTACGTTCGTGACGATGAGTATAATCAGCAAACGTAATTATTCACATTGAAACCTATCCCCAGAATATGGCGTTTAAACAAAATTATCGTCACTGAAAATCAGCCGAATTAGCAATATATGGGTGCACTTTAAGTATTTCTAAAAGGAAGATAGTCTACGCCCAGTTTTCATGCTGCCTTTCGGACCGCTGATGTTGTGGTGAAACACCTACGTTAAGTTTACATGCAGCTGCTAATTTGTTGCGGGGGTTCTTAATGAGGCTGCTAGTCAAATACTGGTTAAAATAGCGAAACAAAGTTCCGATGAAGGTTTTTCTACGAATATGCGCGATAGGGAAACAGCAGGCACCTAAGCTGAAATTCTTGATCACTCCCACAGGGCCATAAACGCACTGCAAGGCTTCAACGGAATGGACCTTTACACAATGAACCGTACACAACTGGCGCAACACGTCGGTCCGGAAAGATGTGATGAGCTATTTTTCGCCTTCAGAAGCTGACAGGTGAGTAAACAAAGGGCTAGCGATTCTGATCGTGTGACTAGTACGTGCTTGTGTAATATAAGGGTACGAGGACCCGAAAAGTAACCTTTCATGTGGGATTATAAAGGTAACTGCAATACATCAATATTACGTACCAACATTACATCCGTGCCAAGGAACCATAAACGGTTGTACGCGGGTTGGGTCTAAATCATACAAGATCTGGAACTCGATTACAGGAGAGAAGTTGTAAACAAGACAGTGAGACCGACTTACATATGGTATTAGAAGCCATAAGCTTCAAAGTGGCCATGATGAAACATCCAAGAGCGACAAATCAAGTAAAGTGAATAAGACAAAAATCAAGAGTGAACACCAGTCACCAGCCGGTAGTTGGTTAAGAGTGACCAGCCTAATAATGCGAACAAGGGAGGAGAAAGTCACAACTGCACCAACTGTATACGCAGCCTATTGTACCGACATTTGTCATCGTACAAATTGATATCCTGATCGACTAACATAATGAGATTTCCTTTCACTATTTCTTATGGCCTAACAGAACGCCAAGCACGATAAAGAATGAAGGTGACGAGTGTGCCGTTTCCTCAAAAATTGCATAACCAGTTGCTACGAAATTATTGACGTGCTATATTTGTTACAATAAAGAAAAATAGAAGCGTCTGTATATTGTTTTATTGAAGCCAAAAAGAAGGTACCTGAAGAAACGGTCAAATTCTGTACAAGCAGATGTGGAAAAAGCAGCAACAACTATTCATTTAGTTTTTGGCGTGTTCAGACCATACTTGGCCTTCAAACGGTCAAGCTCCTCTTTCTTTTTGTCCACATCAGATTTCTTGAATTGCTGAAAAGATGAGCATGATGCGCGGTTAGTTAAAACGAAATAGAATGGCATTTGGCCGCTGAGCATAACACAACGACTGACACCAATAGCACGATCTGAAAAGCGCCATAAAATGTGGAAAAAGAAAAATGAAGGAAAAAAACAACCGTGTCCGGAAGGATCTGTTGTAACTATATGTTGTCGGGGCCACGGCCAGAAGTTAGAAAACAAACGCGGGTTGTCGCGGTGGGGATAATCAGGAGCATATGAATGTGTGCGAGTCAATACGTAGTGTATAGACAAGCATCATATGTCGAATTCAAATGCACTCGGTGCGGATAATACCAGAGTACCTGTCAGTTACACGCTGCCACTAGAGTAAATTTAGTATGCATAGTGACACCATGCAAAAAGAACAGTGCCGTCACCGAAAATACTGCGGCCCAGTCGCCACTTGGACATCAGTTGACAGGCATGCTTCCCAAAGTATGCATCAACATTGGAATATTATGCTGAGTACTTAAGAACAAAATCTTCACAATGCGCAACTGTACAGCGCATAGCATCCAGATCCTCCCGAGGTTGTCAGAACTTACGAAGTAACAAGCCGTGGGTCAGAAATAATCATCGATCCTGTTTGCGAGCCAACGTCAGTCGCGAGGTATGTGCAAGAAGTTATGGGTAGTGGAATACTTGCAGGCACATGCACCTTGCACCGTCTCCAAACTATAGCGAAACCTGCTAACAGCCACCGGGTCAACTGCAAGTCCAAGCCTATGTGTAGCAGATTCGGTGTGAAACACTGAATACAGCCACGCCATGCTACCAAGACGTTGAAACTAGCCGAACCGTGAGCTAACCAACGTAGCCTTAAAAAGCAGATATGTTAATAATCCCGAAAGAGATAGTGCAGGTTTTTGGTAAGAACAGCTTACTGTCATGAGGTAGGGTTCCAATAAAGTGAGGCAAAAAACGCTCAGGAGCAAAAAGAAAAAACGCATCTTCACTATCCATGCAGTCAGTACAAAGTATATTGACAAAAAAACAACCGTCGCGTGACTAACTTTATGGCGCAAGTAGTATAGCACTACGAGATAGCGGCCACAGACGTTAAATCCGCTCAAATGGTCACAAGCATTTTTTGCATCAAAAATATCCTCGTAGATGACTAAGCCTGTGCCTTTGGTTTCTGGGGTGTTTCCTACCCGGATTTGACGGATCGCTCCGTACTTTCCAAATATATCGTACATTTCTTCAGCTGATATATTATATGGCAGGTTCTTCACCAAGAGAATGCGATTGACCTCTGGAGGAAGGCGAGTCTGCAAACCCAAACAAGAAACCGCAACACAGATCAGAAAACGACAGTATATGAGAAAATATGCACAACTCTTCCTACGTGCTGGTTCAAGCATAAACTAATAAAGCACATCAATTCTCGCTAAAATAACTCACATTGATACGTTTTAAGGCATGCAGTAAATAGGAGACGTTCAAACGACTTGGTGAAGAGAATACACAGCCAGTGCTCAGCGATAGTGCATAATGCCTAGTCAGTGTTGCAACCGGTAAAATTCCATGATAGCATGTTGTTAACTTGGCAATGAACTCCGGAACGCCACACAAGATATCTCGTAATCCATTTTGTGCAAGGTGAAGTTCGGCCAATTGCAACAGTTGAGTGAAAGCAAACACCCCAGTGTGAGCTGACTATGGTGCCGAACATCCAAAATGATAGGTAGCAGTACAACTTACACCAACCGATTATTTTTAAACGAGCAGACCGTTTCATAATCCAAACAAAATCCATATTGAGCTTGAAGTATCGCTGACTTCGGAGTAGACGCACAAACATAGGATAGCTAAACAAGGAGTTGGTAGATTTTGAGGCCCATATTCTACAAAACGGCGACAACCTATTCCATTTGGGTTAATTTCACGTCTATTCGCCATGCCCCCCCCCCCAGATGGCCGCCCTACAACTTCATCCGTATAAGAATAACGAGAAAGAAAACAATGCAAACAGAGGAATCCTGACGATAGACATGCAAAGAGCATGAAGTAGTTAAAATTGGCGGGGTTATAGTTAGCACTAGAAGATGCGGTGCCTCACACTGGCTCCCGCAGAATTCAGCCAGAAAGTAGTCCCCACCGAGGTTGCCAGTGACATAAGTGATCATGTGAGATAGTGAAACATCCGAGACACCATTTTGTGATCCATGCACGCTGCACTGATAGCATGAAACCAAATCGTTAAACAGTAGCACCACCTTCCAAAACAAGCGTCAACATCGTCTCAGCTACGGCCCACCGAACACAGTGGTATCCTAAATCCAAAGTTATCATATTATCGTCAGGTACATGTGACGCGCATCAGTTTGTGATTGTCGGCTGATCCGTAGCATATACCTGGATCCAAATCATGCTTTAGTCAGTGCACGCGAGGTGTCCACTTCCTCAACCTCAACGTAGCGCTCAACTATGAAACTTCCGGGCGTCATCAAAACTTTCGCTCCGTAATGCTGTAATACCCAGCCAAATTGTTTCGCCATGGACAAACGAAGTGATTGAGTCGAATGCCGATTGGAATCGCATCGCACAAATCGTAGGAAAGATACTTGAAGAATGGAACAGTCTGTTGCATTCGAGTTGACTTCGTTATACAGGTAAGTATCCGTAACATCCTGAGGAAGTATCCTGGGAAGGGCCAGGAGTGTTGGTGGGTGACCGAAGCTAGTGCAAACTGAGGTGAATCGAATGCCGTTTTAACTCATCCAAAGCATGGATCAAGAAGGTTGAAAGTGAGTAAAGCGATATCTCAGAAAGGGGCAGCTGATCCATTTTCATGTATCGATTAGGCCGTTCAGTAGGACATTGAAAACAGTAATTCGAGTGGCCAAGTGAGACACCATAACCCGCGCGGGAGATTGATACCACATTCCTTACTTTGTAGAATATTCAAGATATACAACTTTTTTAAACGAGACAAAGCAGCTTGGTCCGAAGTTTCCTGCACTACTGCTGTGAGACAATGAAAAATCAGCAGTGGCTAACCTATCCACGCTACTCAACTAACAAAGAGGCATTTAAAGGCTGAGGGTTGTCAATCATCACCTTCGTCGAAAACAACCACAAGACTTTATAGGAATACTATCGAGACATCGGTTTTATTACCACTGCCTACAAATATCTCATAAATATGGTTCTGAGACGATTCACTTGCACTCGTGTACAGTTAGGTGAAACGGAACTCAGAGCAGCGAAATGTCTATGAAGAGTAACTTGGCTGACGTCAGCAGAATTGATTGTATTTTTCACAACTGTGCACAAGAACGGAACATCAAGTTTTTCAGAAAGCAAGTGTTATTTTCCAACAAGCAAACATGTGTTATAGTAACGCGTTCCAATAATCCGAACACTGCGTCCTTGCGTTGCGAAATATTCGTTTGTGTCGAATATTCAACCCAAACTCAAACATTTCGGCCCTCCGGGGTTCTATTTAACCGCGTGTATTCAATTGTGACCCATGTGGTACTGGTTTGTATACCCCTATGGTCCGTTCAGGCTTGCGTTCTCATTGTGTCAATACAATGGAGGCATTCGCTTCTGTGCTATCCAAGGCAAAATCGCAGCAAGTGTTCAGTCCTAACTCCGGGAGGCACAACACTTCGTGACAGCTAAATCAGTGAAAACCAGGTTGGTTTCCACCCTAGCTGAGGCTACAATGACCATGGCTACCTTTCGTCAAAAATCGGAGCACTGGCATGCATACGGATGATCCGCTACGCTAGTTTCCTTGATACTAAAGTCTCGTTCAACTAGAATGATCGCGCCAGCTTGTGGTACTGTCTAAATCTGAGGAACATGTTAGGGAAACTCCACTCTTCCCAAATGGTCCTCCACTGCAACTCCTGACCGGGTAGATTCCTATGAGAAGCTGTTGTTGTGTTCGCAAGAGAAGCGGAGAGCGTCAAAAGTTTCGTATCTCTTTTCCTCATCAACTCTGGACCAAAATGAAAACAAATGACTCCGTGCTCACAGCCCTATCTGGAGTGGGATTTCTGAAGAGTAGCCAATTGATAGACTGAGAGGACATGAAGAAGACCACCCTTGGGTAGTAAAGATTCTATGCATTCGATTGTGGCCAGATCGGCAGAGGGAGCCTCGCGCTTTTACACGTGCTTTGGGCCTTTAAACTGAAGGTACTATTGCACTGATGGATTGAAAAGCCACAGGCACTGCCTAGCACAGAAGAGCCACTTCAAGTGATCAACCAGTTAACTTATCCAGTCATATGCATCATTAAAGAGGCTGTGCACGCAAAACAAGACCCATGGTGGCTACTCATGTTCTCAATAGCCGATGGAGACGAAAAAAAGATCGAGCGGTCAATCAATTATGTGAAGCACAAGGTTGCGAAAAAGCCAGTGTTACTGTGCGAGTCAAAGATATGGCTACAATAGAAACACGGTCATGTTTGGACACTGATGCTTAGGTAGTATTCCACAGAAGGTTAATGATACTGAAGTCTACCGTACCGGATTACGGGTTAAACTAGAATCGCTTACGCTATCTAGGTCGCCCAGTTCGTAGGCTGTCGTTTGTAAGAGTCTGGTGCCCACCATACTTCGAGAGCTATCCCTAACTCGCGAGTCACTACAGCGGGAAGAACAGGCTAGGTTCCACCTTGGTCGCACTGCATCAATCAAATTTTCACACTCCGCAAGACCCTCGAGCTCCACCAGGTGTAGAAAATGCCAACGATTGTTGTGTTCCTGAATATCCGTGATGCCATTAATTCTGTCGACAGGACCGCACCGTGGCACTGTCTGTTGTGGATTGTCGACACCGGGAAGTTCGTTTCCCTACTGCGTGCGATGTACAGTCTGACTAAGAATAGAGGTAGAGTTCATGGTAAGCTTTCGCCTTCCTTTGCTGTCACCAGTGGAGTTCGAGAAGAGTGTCCCATCTCCTCATTCCTCTCTAATTTTGCCACTGAGGCTGACTTCAAAAATGCCCTGGAAGATTCGCTAAGCTCCTCTCAGGATGTCGAACTGTTGACTTCATACATTATACATATTAGCTAGAAGTGGAAAACACCAGCTATTGTGCCGCAATACAAAATAAAAACATGCAACAGAGATACGCCAGCTGAGTCACCAATACCGGATAACATCGCTCCGGAGAGCGAACAGCCGGCTACCGGGCCGCAAAAAGGAGCTGTATGAAGCCTAATGAATGAGATCGTGGTTGGACGGGGAGGGACAAAGGAACTCACAGCACGAACGCCATTAAGGTCGGCTCTTAGCCATGTCAGAAAGTGAATCAACCCAAATGTGTTCGTCGTCTTTCGGGCCCCAGCCAGGAAGCCGACAGGCTCCAATCGAGGCCAACTTCGAAGTAAGGACCTTCATTCCTATCGACCAAGTCATCGCCTGGTCACCTCTCCTCTACATCCATCCACACCCTCGGTGCACAACACACGTCGTGAGAGTTGATGCTGGTATGCGCAACACGTGACTAAGCCATCGGAACCTGGTGCGTGAAATAACGGTGCTGAGCGGTTCGCTTCTCCTTCCTGCGCCATTCACAAGGCGTCGAGCACATGCATTGCTCACATGGCGCTTCCACCAGATGTGAGCCAAACTGCGAAGGCACCGGTGGTCGAACGTAACCAGCCTCTTTATGTCCGCTGATCTAAGAGGCCAGGTTTCACAACCGTAAAGTAGGGTCGAACGTATTGCTGCACTGCATACTCTACTCTTCAAAGAGAAAGTGATGTCGCGCCGGCGCCACATGTGGCGAAGCTTAGCAAAAGCGCTTCGTGCTTTGCTATCCGGTGTGTGACCTAGCCCTCGATTCCAACGGTGCTGATACAACTACCAAGGCAGCTGAACATTTGAATATCTTAAAGCTGATCCCCACCAAGGGTCAGCGCAGGAGGCGGTCCCCGCCAATCTTGGAGGAACGCTTAGAAACTTTGAGGGTGCGAAGCATAGCGCGAAGCGGCTGACAGTCAGTGCTAATCTGTTCAGTGCTGCTCGGTGCGTCTGAGAGCTGTCACAGATGAGGGCAATATCGTCTGCATACTCCAAGCCAAGAAGTCGTTCACTTGGGAGCAACTCCACACCCTCTAAGTTGTGTCCTGTGAGCGCAATCTCTGACTATGTCAACAGCGAGGTTGAAGAGAAGAAGTGACAGCGTGCATCCTTGTCTCACACCGCTGGAGATACTGGAGGGCAGTGACAACCTGCCATAGGCGTATCTTATGTAAAGATGCTTGCTTATTTCTTGCGAGCATTAACATCCGACATAGCACCCG